AGTTATTGGTCTACTACATGGGTGGCCAATCTTATCTGCAAAGGGCCGGTGTGTACGCAGGTTTTTGGGACAACCTGTAGGTCAGTTGTTCAAACCCAGGTGTGAGGACTCTTCAGCCAATCAGTCCTCTAATTAGTAATCTAATTAGGGAGTTGCAGCGAAAACCCGCATACACACCGGGCCTTTGCGGATAAGATTGGCCACCCCTGGCCTACTACTAGGTAAACCAGTACTCTAGTAAACAAACTATTGAGTACCAAATGAAAGCTACTGTGTAGTGTTCGATGGGCAAGACATGGCTATAGGTTTAAATCAATTTAAAATTTCTAGGGAAAAGAAAAACCATATTAACAGTCATCTTATTTCCTCAGGGCCTCCCTAAACGAGAAAACTTCTTCAGACCCCAATTAAACAAGTCGGTTGAAGTTACAAATGAACTTTGTGTTTAATCGGACCGTGACCTTCAGCTCTCACTGGAGTGGTTCGCAGCTGAGTGTGAAGTGGCCGGGATGAGAATCAGCACCTCCAAATCCGAGACCATGGTCCTCAGCCAGAAAAGGGTGGAGTGCTCTCTCCGGGTTGGGATGGGGGTCCTTCTCCAAGTGGAGGAGTTTAAGTATCTTCGGGTCTTCTTCACGAGCGCGGGAAGGATGGAGCATGAGATCCACAGGCAGATCAGCCAGATGAGCTGGCTCGGGCATCTGTTCAGGATGCCTCCCTGGTGAGGTGTTGTGGGCATGTCCCACTGGGAGGAGGCGCAGGGGAAGACCCAGGTTACGCTGGCCTGGCCTGGGAATGCCTCGGGATCCCCCCAGAGGAGCTGGATGAAGTGGTCGGGGAGAGGGAAGTCTGGGTTTCCCTGCTTAGACTGCTGCCCCCCCGACATGGAAAAGCGGTAGAAGATGGATGGACGGATAGATAATTATTTCTTGATGAAGGATTTTTTTTTTCATGGAATAAATTTATTTTAACAAAAGGTTGGATTTTTCTCAAATTTTCAGTGTGACATGAAGTTGCTTCACCAAAAGGTGGATTTTTTCGAACCCTTTTTATAAATCTTTACAACGGGTGCCAATAATTGTGGAGGGCACTGTATATATTCAGAGTATAGCACACCTGTAGATTTCCTTCTCTGCTCCTTTAGCTATGGCACCATGCTGGCATGCTGGGACTCGAACCCTGCAGCACGACCCACCTTCACCGCCTTAGTGGGGACCCTCGGAGAGCAGCTGCAGCAGCGGGTTCAGCAGGTTTGGGGCTGTTTCCTATAGTCCAGCTTGACGATATTTCCACTCAGTAGTACTCAATATGTCAAATCTAATTCTCAATTTCTTATCCACCAGGATGGCAAGGACTATGTTCCCCTGGACACTGTCTTACCTTCTGGAGCAGATGTGCATCTCAACACCCACAGCCCAGGCAGCCTTGGGTAGGAGCTAGTGGTGCAGCTGGTGTGAGACAGGAGCAGGTCAAAGACTGAGCTCTGAAATACACCTTCAGGAGAAACTCAGCAGTCAGAATGCAATTTCAATATGTTGCAACTGTCAGCACAGCCCATTTCATTATAGTTCTCTTTACCAACTTTCAGCTACATCAACACCAGGACTGTCTCGGGCCTAAGCACCTTCGAAGAGCTGCCCTCACTGGACCCACCTGGTTCAGAGGTAGGACATCACCAGCATGCAGTCATACTTAAGGGCCGTGACTCGTGTCAGTACTGCACTAACCTGTGTGGGATGATAATCATCGGTATATCCTGATGTTCTACGTCATTGTGAAATGCTGTCTGACAGGACTACCAGACTGACAGTGGCATGGTGCTTCCATCAGAAGAACTGCAAACTGTAAAATGGAGCACAAACAGGAATCCCCTTATGAGCAGGTATGTCTGGAAACCCCCTTAAACCCTTTTACTGCACAAATGTCTCCCTACACTAACCCCCACCGGCCCGCATCTCCCCTCTACAACCCTGATGCTCAGGCCCACGTCTCCCTTCTGCAACCTTGATGCTCAGTCCCGAGTCTCCCCTCTGCAACCCCAAAGCTCTGGCCCATGTCTCCCCTCTGCAATCCTGATGCTCAGGCCTGAGTCTCCCCTCTGTGACCTCGACGCGCCAACCCGCGTATTCCCTCTGCGACCCCAACGCGCCAGCCTACATCTCCCCTCTGCAACCCAGATGCTCAGGCCTGTGTCTCCCTTCTGCGACCCCAATGCACTGGCCCACATCTCCCCTCCGCGATCCTGATGCGCCAACCCACATCTCCCTTCTGCCACCCCGACACACCGACCCGTGCCTCCCCTCTCTGACCCTGATGCTTAGGCCCACGTCTCCCCTCTGTGAACCCGATGCTCAGGCATGTCTTCCCTATGCAACCATGACACGTCGGCCCGCATTTCCCTGCGTATCCCCTCTGTGACCCTGATGTGCCCGCCCACTAAACTCAATACCTAAACATCTACTTAATGCTAAACAGTAGCACTCAACCCCCGCACGCCTTGCAGGTTCTTCTCTCGCTGTAAGAATCAGGGGATTCTACCTTCTGCCGCACTCCATCCAAGGTTGCACAGCGAGACTGTCGGTAAGATGACCGTCCCGGGTGACTTACCACCCCCAGACTACAGCGGCGCCCTCCTGCAACCCTGCCTATGACAGCTGGAGCAACAGAATCCATCATGGGGCCAGGCTACTCTGTCCCATGCACCGCAGAATTCTGTCGGTATTTATGTGTGAACATTTCTGCTTACGTTGTTTGCCTCGGTACCAAGTAGCATCCATTAACAGTATAGCAGATTCATAAATGCAATAATATATTCTTGCTACAAAACTACGCTGGAAGATAAAATATTTTTCAAGCACCTAAAAACAAGGTTAATTATGGAAATTTAGCATGAAAGCTGTGTATTATAGGAAAGTGAATAAAGGCAGGGTGGGTGGGGGCATGGGTGCTGTCATATTCTGTCCCTCGTCCCTCCCAGACCCACCTATGGCACGCAGCTTCCTTCACATCGCTGAAACAGGGTGTGGCTTCTTTCCAAACTGTGACTGTGTGATGCAACAGCTATGTTTTTACAACAGAGACAGGAGTCAAAGGCCCAGGGCCAGTCGCACAAAACACCTTAAGGCTTTATTTCTCCTTAGCTGAGGCATTTATTTAAGGGTGATGCACAGACTTAAAAGGTTTCCTTAGCTAAGGATGCAGTGGTGACAACCCAGCTTTTATTTTTATTTTATTTATATTTGTCAGACGGATATGTTTCATTTCATCATTAACGTGTAATTTAGTCTCTTTTTTTTCAGTTACTGTCACACAAAAACCTCATCTTATATCTCTTATGGCCGAGTTCATGGTTATATGGTGGACGAGAAAAAAAACTGAATATGTCACGTATTGTGTATGTATAATACATGTAATATGAATTATAAATATGTCGCAAGTCATATAAATAAAATCATAAAGAGACTGTCAGGTAAAATCAGTTGCTCATCATAAAAGACCTTAAGGGATTTACTAAATTGCAAGACATTTTACAGCAATTAAATGGTCTAGTTTCCACAGAGACCATTTGATTTGCTCGCACTTGCAGCTACTCATGCCTGTTATGGTCTCCAGTATTAATATCATTGACGAAAATATGGCCTGACAAAGGGTTTTTGTGACTAACAAACAAAAACATGACATATGCATTAATGACAATGATGAAATTAAACACATGATCCATCTGACAAATTTAAATTAAAAATAAAAGCTGGATTTTCTCCCCACTTTATCCTTATCGGGCGCATTGTGTTCAATATGATTAGGCACTTTTTGCTTGACGAACAACTTTGATGATTGACCAGCAGCAGCAGTGCTTACTTACGCAGTCATGGCCTGCAGTCTCCCATGTGACCATATATAAACTTGTACATAAAGTATATAAATACAAATGTATACAGAAGTATGGGGAAAAGACATAGGAGTGGAGTAAAAATTGACAAAGTGTAATAATTTTTGTATCTTACTTACATTAAATGCATTACTGAGTACCTTTTTTGCTTCCGTCTCCATATTTCTGCATTGCAAAACTTGATCAACAATATACTTCTGTCTGATATCACCAGCGCTTACTAGTGGAACATGTTACACTGTTTTTTTTATTCTGCAAAAAGATCTCTTGGCCAGATTTAATAATTAATTATGAAAATGTCACAGGGCACATAAATAAAATCATAAGGTGACTGGTAATTAGGTAAAATCAATTGTTCTTCATTAATTGTATCCACTGGGTTCTCTCAGTTGTTGGGATGCGTTCATTTTCGTCCACCATATCACCATTAACTCGGCCATGTTGCGGGTGAGATACAGTCAGAGGTACCTTAATTGGTTTTCCTTACTTTGATTGCTAAGCTCTTTCAACAGTTTGATGAACTTTTAGCCCAGGATAAGGAGAAAAACCTAAATATCTAAGTGAGCATCTTAAGGAAACATTAAAGAACAGGAAGTGTTCTGTGTAAACAATGTCATTTTAAAAACTTAAACTAAGACATTAAGGAAAATCATAAGGTGTTTTGTGCAACTGCCCCTGGAATTAAAGAAAACACTGCTGTACACACAAATACTACAAGGATGAAGGCATAATGGGGGAAATGTCTGTGCAGGGGCTTTTTTTTTTGATAGACCAGTGACACCCATTCACCAGCATGGGTGCAAGGGGATTGAGCAATGACCAGTCACACAACAGCACTGACATACCAGCAGTCTGTCTGCCATTATGGGCCACTCACCACTGTCAACACCCCCTGTTCAGTGCAGCCCGTGGAGCTGGGGTGGTCCATGCCAGGCTCACGCCATCACTGCTCAGTACCGCTTAAGTCCAGAGGGGGGCACACCCGAGCCAAACACTGTGTCTATGCTGGTCATTCTGACAAACCCTCCTGCCTAAGGACAGCCACCCGAGGCCTGCTGCTGGCCGCACCGTTGCAGGCCGGGGTACAAGATCCCAGCAGGATGAGCAGGCATGTAAGAAACGCAGGTTTTATTTCCAATCCTTTGAGGACAGTGCCCTCGCAAGGCCACGACAATTAAAACAAACTTAAAAATTTAGTGCATCTGCATCAGGGAAATAAAAACCAAATAAAAAACAGCAAAGACACCATCAGGTTTTGATCCCCCATCTTTAAAAAAAGGACAAAAAAAACATTACCCCTTGTGTCCATAATCACAGCCACAGGGTTTCAATCTGAGAGAAAAGAGCTTCTGAAGTCGAATGGACTCCTGCCAGGCAGAGCAGCGTGGCAGACAGAAGCGAGGCAGGGAGCCTGCCTGCCCACGTGCCTGCATGTCCATGCTCAGCCACCCAGGGAAAAGGAATCACACCCGGCTGTAGTGCAATTTGCTCGGTTTTAGTCACGGGCAGTCCGAGCTATCGGCTGCCAGGAGCCGGGGCCTCCATCAGGAGGGTGGGGCCAATGCTACAGTTGCCCACTTGCAATGCTGGTCAGCTCCTGAAAGGTGCTGTCGAAACAGCGCTTCAGGTCTGAGTAAGTCACCACCAGGATACTCTTCTCGTCCCGGGAGACCAGGCTGATCTTTTCTGGGACGCCAGCATCCAGCTGCAGCAGAAAGATGCAACACAGTCAGACATCACACAGATAGCTCAAGCAGGGCGCAGCGCCAGCTATAGCAGGTGACATCTCACCTTGTTGAGGCAAGAAACAATGTGGCTGAGATCTATCCAGGGGGTGCCGGCCTCAGTGACCTGGTGGAAGAGGTGGTCCCTGAAGAGCTTCAAAAGGTAGCGATCTCCGGTCTCGGACCAGGTGGGGTCCTTCTGAAACCTGCAGCATATGGTCAGCAGGCCGTGAGCGGGCACAAGACGTGACCCAAAGGTAACTGACGTTATGTTGGGTTTGTGCACCGATCTGCGTAATGGTGCTATCAGCAGACTTACTCAGGCCTCTCATTGATAGTTCCAAGTTTGGCCAGGAGACGGAACAAGCGGCCATTCTGCACCTCCTGCAGGGAAGCATAAGAGGGACTTCCTATATTCAGCAGAACGTCATCTGGATACCGCACGCCTCCACAATGCAGCGGGCACCAAGAGTGTCCTGAGGCTTTTACAGAATGAGAGTAGCTCCTACCTGAGCTGGCTTGTGAATGAGGGACATTTAGAAACCCACCTGGCTTGTTCTGAATGGCACAGCATGGACCTCAAGCCCAGACCCACAGCCACAGCCATGGGTATACACAACACAGCACGACCATAAACAGGAACGGGCAGGTTTCAGTTTCACAAATAAAGCCAATTCAGAAATAGATACCGGAAGGGGAGAAATAACAGAGCGAAAATGAGGTCATTAGTGTTACACCCAGACATTGGAGTAAACATCCGGCCATAGCTACAAAGCGTAGAGGGGGCAGCATTACTTCAGCTAGGAAGTAAGAGAAGAGGGTGCAAGAGTGGATAGACTCTCGTCCAGGGCAGCATGCTGCTGTGTGTGAGCGGGCTGTCTGAGTGCATTGGGCGCAAGCTTCTGGACATGAGCATCTGCGCAAGAGCAGGCCCTCTGTGTGCACTGTGCGCGAGTGGCTGTCCGTGTGTGGGGTGCGTACCTTGGCCAGGTCCTCCTCGATGACATCATTTCTCATCTGGGAAGCATCCAGCTGGGTGTAGAATCGAGCTCCGATCATGGGCATAATGTCGTTAACACTGCGCAGCCGAGACTGATCAGTCAGCAGGTACCTGAGGAGCAGACAGGTTAGACAGGCAGTGGGAGATGTATAGAAAACAGAACATATAGCAGAGGGAGGTATAGTAGGGGCCTGTAGGCCACATACAGGTCATAACGATCTTACAGAATGAGGTTCTTAAGGTCAGAAGAGTAGTTGATGGACACCAGCTCCATGGCTTTCTGCAGGTTCTCTCTCTGCAGACCAGCCAGGGAGTTACAGGCCAGTGCCAGCACCACCTTCCCCAGGGAGACAAGGTCCGCTTGCTGCAGGCAGAGAGGAAGCCACAGAGCGTCACAAGAGGGAACAGACAGATACAGGCACACGGCATCAAGCACGGGGGCACAGACCAATACGGCTGCACAGTCTCACGCACGGGGGCACAGACACATACAGCCACATGCTGTCACGCACGGGGGCACAGACACATACGGCACAGACACATACGGCCGTGTGCTGTCACGCACGGGGGCACAGACACATACGGCACAGACACATACGGCCGTGTGCTGTCACGCACGGGGGCACAGACCGATACGGCATCACAGACAGATGCGGCCGCATGGCGTCAAGCATATATACCTATACCTATCTATATACACACATATACATATATATATACATATATATATACATATATACATATATATATACATATATATATA